AAACAGCCAACAAAAAACCTTCTAAGCTGCTTAACTGTGGGACTACATGGTCTTATTTTCTTAGGGACTGGTATCAAGAATGTCAACAGAAAGATTAAGCCTCTCTTAAAAGAAGCCACATGGACCTTGAACATTATTTTTTCATCTAAACTGGGCAGTTTCTCCGGTTGTTTTTATGAGCAACTGAAACACTCCTTAAGAAAAGGCTTTGAATGTGCATTGCACTCCCTGTAAAAATGATTCTAGAGCTGTATGTGTCTTCTCTCCTTTAATTAACTTCAGGAGTACACAAACCAATCAACTACTGTGCATGCTCCCCCATCATTATTGACAGGATTGGTTTTAAATCCCTTACAACCAAAGAAGAGCCCACATTGCACCTAAAAAAGAAGGCAACCTCCTTTGGGGTTGCACACTCACTGTGGGCCTGCTTTAAGTGGGGTGTCTTTTGGAATCCCCAGAATAGCCAGTGCTCTCCTCCTCCCTCCTGTCCCTTCAGCCTGGCTGCTGGGGAACAAAATTCCAGTTACACGGACAATTTTATCATTCACGTGCTTCAGTGTGAGCTCATGATGACAGAGGGACTTGGATCCCGAAAACAAACCTTGCAGTTTGCCCACTACATTGTCAGTAATATTGCATTATCCAGCCCTCCTCAGAACTCTCCAGAGGCAGCAGTTAATTAACCTCTCCTGACCACAGCTAATTAGCTTTAGCCAGGAGACCAGCAGCTATGAAGACAACTCAAACAGGCTCTAGAATTCCTCAAAGGCCTTGCAGCTGCTCTGGGACAAGCAGGAAATATAATTTTGAGGGAGTTTGTAAATCTCTATCAAGTGTAACCTGCCATGTGTCTCATATCATTTTTTGCTGGAGATGCTGGAACACACCAAACAAAAACCCCACTGTGTTGCAGCTCAGCTATCACTGGCACGGGCCAAATGCTGCCAGTCCCCAGTGCTGCAAATAAGGAATAAAGTAGCTGCAAATAATCCAGAATTCTTTCATTTCCCTCTTTAGGTGAAATGCTAAGGAGTGGCCACTTCTCATTGCAGGCAAGTTGCAGCTCTTTTGCTCTTCCTATAAAAGCATCAAGAAATCTTCATCCCGAGGAAGGTCTTATCCCCCAGGGGAAATGCTGGGCAGCCAAACAGCCATTTCAAAAAGCCCAGCTTAAAAATCAAAATACAAGTGCTAAAAAGCACTCCAAGTGCTTTGGCAGCCTCATGAGTCACATAACTTCAAAAAGGCCAGTCTGTTTGCAAGCTGATAGTGCAGGATCTGCTTTCATAGAGAAAATAAGCAAAATGTGCAGATGAGCAGAGATAATTTTCACTGCTGTGTCCTCAAACAGTTGCCAGTCTAACAGCAACACAGGACTGAAGATCTCAGACACTACACCAGGCATCTAAATGAGATATCCTGCTCAAAAAAGTTATTTTTCAGGAGAGCACTGATGTAGGTGAGCTCTGACAAAGCAGAGCTGTACCATTAAAAAGGGTATTTAACTTTTCCAGCAGCTCTGAATTCAGCACACGCAGCCTGAGCTGGCAGATCTGGATCAGTGCTCAGCAGAGCAGTAGAGCAGGTTCAACAGCTCCTTCTGGGGGGTTTGTGACACGAGTTACTCTGATTACACTTGTCCCAGTCCTTTGCAATTCCCAAGAGAGTTAATGGAGCAGTGAAATTACATTGCAGGCCTTGTTATCATTTGCTTTAATTGCCAGTCTAAGTTGCATTTGAGTAAAAGCAACTGCTCTGTAGCAACTCTGCACTGACCCACAGGAAAGAAATTAGTGCTCCCTTCTACCCTGAAGATAAGTTACTACAAACCAGGAGAAGAGAGCCACTAATTCTCCCTCAGAAGAAGTCCTGAGTAGCAGCTTGTATTTAAAAACACTGCTGGAGGTAAAGATATCACAGGTTCCAAACAGCCAGCTATCCCAAAGGCACCCAGAAAGGCTGAGCAGGAAAGCTTTAGGAGAGAGGTGAAGAGCAGAACCTACCAGCAGGTTCCATCCCTCGTGCCTGCAGAGCCACAGAAGCAGCTCCCTGGGATTCCACAGAGCAGCCAGACCATCCCTGCTCAGCAATGCCCAGCTCCTCTCAAAAGCCAGGGGTCTCCTTTCCCACTCAAGAAAAGCACTCAGTTTTCATCACTTGGAAGAACTATCTGCAGTTGTGTAATGTATCCAGTGTTCCCACTCAAGGACTTTCTGGGAACCCCTCCAGATTTACCACAGGCCATAAACAAGTCAGACTGCTACAGAAGAAGGGATTTTCATCAGCAGCCTTGCTCATACTTTGCCTGTTCATCAGATGATCCCAGAACTCTACAGTCTACCAAGTCTCCAGAGGTTTACAGGACTGAAACTGTCTTGGTGCTTTAGTTCCCTCACCACCAAGGTACCAACCTTTCACCACCACCTTCAGCATCCAGACACTTGTTCCCGTGCCACACAACGTGTTCTGTGCAGTCTCATGCTGAGGGGCAGAGAACTGAACCAAGGGGAAGCTGCCCAAACCAGAACTCAGTTCCACATCTGGGCAGGTTCCTCCAGGTCAGCTCCCTGCAGCAACAGGGATGTGCCCACCACGAGAGCAGGACAGGGCAGGCAAACTAACACTGCATGGGACACTTCAGGGCTTAAACTGCTCCACACACCACCCTCTGCTTCCCTCCAGGCCCGAGAAACTGCAGTGACAAAGCCAGTCACTGTTTTTTTTGTCTAATAATCTGGTATCATTAAAAAAAACTACTGCAGAGATGGGGGGCAGGTAAGAAGAGGTAATAAATTAACAAGAGAGAGAAGTGCACAGTTGTTAACATAAGGTCTGGCCTGTGCATGGAACCACAAGGAGAACAGGACTACCTCAAGTATCCATGGAATTTCATAATTATTTGTTCAGGGTCACATAAAAAAAAAAAAAGCACAGAGAGTTCTGACTCCTCTTCCATCTCAACCACTTTATTATTCTCTTACAAGAATCTGATGACCCTGGGAAAAAAATAATACTGTTAGTATATCCAGGCTGGATGAGAACCCAGGCAAGCAGCATTTCTCTGTCTCTCATACCCACCAGCTCTGGCTCCAAGGATCACTTGTGAAGCTCAGGGCATTAACAGGGCAACAGCAAAGCCCTTTCTTATCACGTGGAGCCCATCATGCCAGCAGCAGCTGAGATGATCTAATGGCTCACTGCTGGCAGAACGGGAGGTTTGTCCTCTCTTTGTCCCACATGTGCCTCCTCTCACTCTCCTGCTTTGCCCCTTTCAGCAAAGCTGGCCAGGAATTCTTGCTCCCAGCAGGCACTTGGACATGTTCAATCAACTTGCAAAGGTGTCAAAGCATCAGCTGAACTTCAGCAAGGCACCCATTCCTCATGGCTTTCCACACAACCCATGTAAAGTGCAAAAGCATCGCACAGGGTCAAGAGAACATTTCTAATCCCAAAAGGAGCGAAGAGGGGAAAGAATAAAAACCCAGAAACTCACTTTGGCCTGCAGTGTAAATGCAATGGTAAAACCAGTGTAAGGAGGCTGGGAAAACTTCCTGTACAGCAAAGTTGAAATGTACATAAATTACTTAAAAAGCCCAAATTTGCCAAAAGCAAATCAGCACTCGGGGCTCTCCCAGAGGCCTGCTGAGCTGAAAAGCACTCACTGTTTCTCCAGGAGATGTATCACACAGGACTTTCAACACTGGCTAGGATTCCAGCAGCAATTCCTCAGCCTTCAGTGGGGCACCCCACCTACCAGAGAGGTTTTATACACACAGCAAGACAGAGCCCTCACCTCTGTTCTCAGACTGCTGCCCTCCTCCTGATTCTGTCGGGGAGAATATTCCATGAATTCCTTTCAAATCAGGATCAGCCCTGACCCCTGTAAAAGGCTGTACATGGTGTTTTCACCTGGCTTTCCCAGCTTGCTCCCTTGCTTTATGACCTGCAGTAACTCTGGAAGAATCCAGGGAAAATCCTCCCAACTATTTTAGCATTAAAGCAGGAGGCAGAGATTAGTTTTAGCAACACACAGGTTACCACAGCAAATCCAGTGGTGTTGGACTTCCCAGCCCTGAGCCTGCCATGTCAGCTATTCAGTGTCTGAATATTTGTCAGAATTAAGTCCCCCTGGAACACAGGGCTCTGTGTGCTTTGCAGCTCACAGCAGGCAGGTGGAGGTGGGGTTTTTTTTCTTTTCTTAAAAAGCAGAAAAGCTCTAGCTCTGAAATAAAAAAAGGTTATCAAAGTGTGATCTGCATTTAGCCAACGTGAGCATTATTTACCATCACAGCACTGCTCCACACCTGGTTATAATGCCTTCCCACTTCCTCAGCTTTTCACTAATTCACCTTCTCAGATGTGCTTAAAACCACAGGAAGGATAAGAAAATGCTTGTACTCCAACTTAAACACTTGCCAGGAAGATTTATAAGGTTTGTAATTTTGCACAGTTCAGAGTCAAGAGAATCACATGTCATTTCAGCTCTACTTCAGAAGCAAAGCTGAAGTATTTGATATGCAATTCTGTGGGACACACCATAAGGAATTTTTTGGAATTCTACTTTAATGTCCTTCCAGCACACACTTGAAGACAGCAGAACCCTCAAAGCTACCTAGCCATCATTAGTTCAATGAATCATTTGTGGTTCTCCCTGTAATTGCACCTCCTTCAGACCTCAATCTCCTCATGACAAGGGATGGGATTCAACAGCCATTCAGGAACTCATTTCCCTTTTTTAAAATATAGCTGCTTTCTGGCAACAGCTTTAAAAAGCTGTGCCTGCTCTGGACCAGATCTGAGGCCAACACCAGTTCAAAGATGCACCCCAGGAACATAACTGCACATCATGACATGTAGAAAAACTGCACCACCTTTTGCAGAGCTCAAAACCGATGAGACAACCAAGACCAAAACTGATATTCAGTGTAAGCTCACTGTGTTCACACACTCACTAGTTTTCTGCATCCTCATCCTTATTTCCACATCTAAAATTCGTGCTCATCCCTGCAGAAAGACTGAAAAAGCCTGTTATTTAAAACATAAGGCAGGGGCAGATACAGGACACAAACAGGACAGCTGGTTAAGAGTGACAAAACAAGAACCACACAGAATTAACACAGATGTAATAGCAGCAGGAAGGGGCCAAAAGCAAACCCATGAGCCCATGCAGGGACTTGGGCAAATGCAGTTCTTGCTGTGCATTGTTCCAACAGGTGTGTTTGGTTATGGGCACTACAACATTGAGGGGGACAGATGCAGAGAGCTGGCAAACACCAAAGGACACTGTCAGCACACCCTAAAAAAACTGCTCCAGACTGGGGGGAAGAAAGTCTTACAAGCACTGCCCACTGCCAGACAAAGCTGCTCTTAGTGGGGGTTCATATGAGATCCAAATAACAGGGAACTACACAGTCTTTCCAGCACAAAGACCATCTTTCCTTATTGACTTTTTCCTCAGAGTTTGTCTAAGTAAGTATTTATTCACAAGATCAAAGACCAAAACTCCAACTGCTCCTCTGAGCCAGCGTGGGAACTGAGCCATGGGGCAGAAGGAACAGGGGGGTGCAAGTCCCACCTCATTAATAACACTGCAGCACTTCAGAGAGTCCCTTAAGCCTCTTAACACCACCTTGGGCAAGGGAGCATTAGTCCATATTAGCTGTGGGAATGACCTGGGAATACCAGTTAAGCAATGGAAACCAAGATGATGCTCAGAAGGAAGGACACAAGAAGTAACCAGGGTCTGAGGGAACCAAGAGCATCAACAGAATCAGAGCAAAGGCACTCCTGACCTTAAAGAAGCACCAGGTTGCAGAAGCAAACAGCACATGCTGATGAATAACCTGAAGCATATTAATGTTTATCATGTTGCTGGATGACAAACCAAGGGCAAACCAGTGAGTCTCTCTCCATAAATGAGACTTTAGTCTTTAGCTAGCAAGGCCTTTTCTTCACTCAGTTAAGAGCATTCCCTAACGCCCCACAAATCCCCCAAATGAAGCACCAAGGGTGATTTAGCACAGCTTTTGGGCAGAACAGTCTCTAACTTACCAGAGATCATTCAGCCTGCAGAACACACCTGCATCCCTTAGGGAAAACTGGAAGTACACTGCAGAGAGCAAAAAAACCAGCCCCACGGGAACAGCCAACCTTTTGGGCTACCACTGGAATTTTACAGAACTTCAACAACTATTTCCTCCTCATTTGTCTCTAACAAACACAGACCAAGGATACAGCTGGGCATGGATACAACCAGGAAAGATCACTCACGTTGTGGTGCTTCACTGGAGCAGCACTTCCCTCCCACTCAGTGTTTAGAGACAGAGTGTCACAGAGAAGTGAAAGCAATATTCAAATACAACACTTTCCATCCACTCTTCTGATTTCCCCCCCTCGCTATTTAGGAGGAAAGGGGAAGTAAAATATTTAAGAGTCAGACTTTGTTTTCATATTACTCAGGGGAGTATATAACAAGAGTTATGTAAAACTGTTTTAAAAACAGAGACTTGCTCAGTGTTGTAGTTGAAAGTCTCATCCATGTGCAGCCCTGGGTCCCTACAGCAGTTTTTTCACTTCTCTCATACACCAGACCCCTCAAACACATTTGCCAGCACACTTTGAATCTCCCCTTTGTGCCACGTTCCCCAAAATGCTGTGTATGAGTGGTGTGCACCTTCAAAGAAACAAACCATGAAATTATAGCCGTGTCCTAATTCACACATACTCTGCTCGTGTTGCTTTACCTCTACTCACTTGGATCACCTGAAGTATCTAAACATGCACCCAAGGGACTGATTACCCTGGATTGTCACTTCCAGCTGCTGAAAAAAAGAGTGGGTTTATTTATTAATGCCATCCAGAAGTACCTGCCACCCAAAAGAACTTTTTCTTGCCAGGAGTACTTCCAAAAGAAAAACTTTAAAGTTCACTTCACTCCTGACTTCCATTCATCTGCATCCTGGGTTATACAGGGCAGCAATGCAAGTTTCTGAGGTGTGTACATTAAGCTCCTGTAAATAATAACATCCCAAAAGCTCCCACACTGTGAAATGTTTACTGGGTGCCATTTCTTTCAGTGTAGCTCAGTGGAATGATTCCTTCTACAACAACTTTCAGGGAACACACAGAAACTTCACTTCTGTGGTCGCCAGTGATCTTGTTATCAGATCTTGTTATCAGCTTCCCATTCCTTTATGGGAAGGGCCACAGAACAAGAGTTGAAACCTGAAAAGGGCAATCCCAGTCTTTGGTTAGGGTCTGTGAGCTGAAGGTACAGGAGATAACGGGGTCAGCTGGTCTGGCCCCGTTCCCAGCTGTGCACAATGGCACATTTACCCCTTCCCTCCTCAGCACCTTCCCCAGGTCTGTCTCCCTCCCTCACATGCACCTTCCCAGGCACCTCCCCAAAGTCTGGTGCTTTCCTGTCTCCAGACAACCACATGTGAGCCTGTCCTGGCCAGCAATCAGCACAGCAACACTCACCAGATCATTTGACTGCAGCATGACTGGCTCCCAGTGCTCAGCCTGCATTCTTCTGTCCAAGCCCTTCCATGGAGGATGGAAGAGCAGGAGAGCTTTGGCTCTCCCACCCCCCACTGCTTTGAACTGCTCATAATGACAGGATTGAATCCAGAAATCCCTAAGTTATCGAGACACTCCCAGTTTTCCTGCATTGAGCAACTGGGAAGAGATATTCCTAAGGAATCTCTGCTCCTGGAGTGTAATCCTTTCCCATCTTTGGTTCTGTCAGGATCACTCTTCCAGCAAAAGGAAACGACATCCTGGCACAATTACTAATGGATTCAGATGGGAATTTTATGCTTAACCAGATGCATTTCTTTACAGCCATATCCTCTATCTCTCCCTCTTGAAATGCAGAATACAACAGCAAAAGGCATTCTTCAGCCTGCTTGTCCTGCCACCAACAAACAACTTAAAGAACAGCTCAGTCAGTTTGACAGAAGGGGCAAAGGGTTTTGGACGTGACTTTTCACTCCTGCAAAAGTTTTTCACTAGCAGGAGTTTTGTTCTCTAATCAATGTGAGAGTCACTGGAATAAATAAACCTAGACCAACACCCTCAGTCCTTCAGCCCTTTAAGTGTCACTTCAGTCATTAAAAGCACTCACCTCGAGTTGAGAATCTGGGCTTTGGAGAGATTTATAGCTGTGACTCAGACCATCCTGCTCTCATCCTTGGAGTGAAAAAATGCAGCACTGGGTGTTCCAGAGAAACTGCTACTGAAACAAATCCCAGAGCTGATTTCTGTGCTGCCAGGTAGCAAACCTTGCCTCACACAGCACCACAGAGCTCAGCCCAGCCAGATTCTGGCACTCCAGAGGCGGCACAACAAACTGGGAATGACTTTTTCATTCTTTCTCATGATTGTGCAGTAAAACAGCCCCAGTGTGCTGAGCCCCCTCAAGGTATCCTGCAGTTCTGTAGCAGAGTTTTGAGCTCAGACACGGCAGTGGGAGAGGGGGATCTGTTATCAGTGTGTTAGCAGCAGTTTTGGAGCCTCTGGGTTTGGTTGCAGGCACAGACACAGCACAGGTCCCTCAGCACACGGGCCCTGTGTTTGCAGAGCACACAGCACAACAATCCCCTGGCCTGCCACAGCCTCACACTTGCTACAATCAACACACAGGCATCCTAGGTGGCTCCAACCAAATATTTACTCAACTGGAACATCCCATAATTGATGACTCAGGTTCTGCTCCTACAAACTCCTAAAACAGTTTCTGCTCCTAGGAGAAAAAGCCTCTGTTTTGGTCTCACTTTCACAAATGAAGTCCAGTGACTAATAGCTCGGGCTTCTCCCTGCAGCATTCACTTGGTCCTTGCACAAGCCTGGGAAGGAATAACACCAAAACTTCAGCAGGGAGAAGGCCACGCTGGATCTCCTGGAGGATCCACGTCTCCTGTAAAGTCCATGCAGAGCAGTGCTCATGTTTACATTCATCACCACAGAACAGGCCCACATTTTAGAAGCAGCACTTGCTCTCAAACCAGGGTCAGGCAGCCAAGAGCCACCTCCACGCCCTCCCTTTGCCCCTGGGGGGATGTCTGGCGATACATGTTCATCCCAGGAGCAGTTATAGCTCCACTTCCAGCTGACAGCTATTGATTTCTCTCGAGGAACTCCTTCATATTCCCACCTGGTAACACACAGCTCAAGTAACTCAGATCATGCCTCTACCTCGTAATAACAGTGACTGCAGCGAGTCAGTGAACCCAAACACCGAGTGCAGACTCACATCTCAGTGTTTCTAGAGAAAAGCAAGACTTGGTTGATTATCTCCCCCCTCCAGCACTCCTGCTCCAGCTCCTGTGCAATAAGTCACTGCCTGCCAGAGGGGAAAGGGCACAGCCTGGGCTTGACAGGGATTGCTAAAGCCCCGGGCCGGGCCCAGGCTTCCTGGCTTACCCTGGCTCCCAGTGCTCTCCCAGACTAACACTCGGGACAGCTGCCCAGGGAGCCAAAAGCCAGCTACCAGCAAACAGGAAAAACAGAGCTGGGAGAAGGAAGGATGTGATGGGGAGGGGACACTTCACCACTCCGCAGAACGCACGGCGTGTGTAACCCGGGCTCAGTGCCCAGCCCGCTGGGAGAGGGGGGAGAGGAGCACCCCGTCACCCCGCGACTCAGGGAGCACCCCTATTCGCCCCAGGGCGCCCCAAAATTCAGGGAGCACCCCTGCGAACCCCAGGACACTTCAGGGAGCACCTCTATTTACCCCGGGAATCTCAGGGAGCACCCCTGTGCACCCCAGGACACCCCTATTCACCCCGGGACACCCAGCATCTCAGGGAGCACCCCCTGGGCACTCCAGGGCACCCTATTCACCCCAGGGCACCCAAACACTTCAGGGACCACCCCCATTCACCCCAGGACACCCCTATTTGCTCTAGAACACCCCACACCTCCGGGAGCACCCCTAATCGCCCCAGACCTCCGGGAGCGCCCCCTGTGCATCCCAGGACACCCAACAACTCCGGGAGCACCCCTGTTCGCCCCAGGGTACCCCCCTCCCTGGCAGCCCTGCGGGCTGCCCGCAGGCCCGGCCGTACCTGCTGCGAGGGCAGCTCCACGTGCAGGGCGCGGGCGGCGGAGCCGGGCGGCAGGGCGGCGGGGCCGGCGGCCGAGCTCATGGTCACGGCGGGTCCCCCGCGGAGCCGGGGCCGCCGGGCTGCCAGGGGTTAATGGCGGCGGCGGCGCCGGCCCGGCCGCCGCTCTGGAGCCATATTACCGCAGTGCCGGGGGGCGGGGCCGGCGCCACCGCCCGCCTCGCCATTGGCCCCCGCGCCCCGGGGGCGGGACCCCGGCCGCATCCCCGAGCTGCGACTGGCTGAGCGCCACGTCAATCACCGCCCCGCTCCGCCGGGCCTGTCAAACCGCTGGAACGGCGCCGGCGCCGATTGGAGCGCCCGCTTCCGGAAGGCGGGACAGAGGCCGGAGAGGCGGGCGGTGATTGGAGGGGAGCTTGTTGATTGACAGCGCGCCCTCCGTCACGTGTGCGGGAGCTGTTGTCATCACGTGGGGGGCGGAAATACTTGGGCGGGCGAGCGGGGGGGGGCGCGGTCGCCATGGCAACGGCAGCGGCTGTGGAGGGGACGGGACCCCCGCTCGGGACAGGGACCTTATC